ACTACTCCTGCTGCTGCTACTACTACGACGACGACGACTACCACGACGACGACTGCAAAGACTACTACTGCTATTACGACGACGACGATCACGAGTACGCTGCTATGTCGCTACTCCTAACATCGTTGTAACAAGTTTTCCGGGCCCCGGCCTCTTGGCCTCCTCCGCCGCACGCTCAGCGGCCTCGCGACGAGCCTCCTGTCGCTGGCGCTCCTTTCAGAGCGGAAATGGTTTAGGGGTAATTTAGGGTTTCGGGGTTGAGGGCCTCAGGGTAGCAAGACCGTCTCGGGCCAAACTGCTGGAGGTAGTTGAGCTGCTGTCGCTATTCGTTGGGGGCTCCGACGTTTACCACGCGATCAACCGGAAGCCCACCAACGAGCTTTACTACCGGATTTTACTACCGGTGACTCGAGGAAGAGGGTCTAAGGGGCGAGTCAAGCCCCCCGGCCCAGCGGGGCCCCCCAAGTTTCGGGGTTTTCGGAGGTAAGCAACAGTCAGTTCGGGGATGATCCCACGTACCGAAGCGAAACAAGTCCACCCCCACGTACCAAACATCCAACGTACCAACTAACTGAAGACCCCCCCTCGCAAAGCCCTAAGGCCCCGAGCCCTCGCAAAGGCCCGGCTCCCAGACGTGTCCCCCTGATCAGTGTAAGCGCATGCAAGGACACCATTAAGCCATCATTGAACCTGTCCCTCCCCCGATCAGTGAAAGAAACATGCTTGTTTGGTCTCTCTCTTTCTTTCGCCAGGGTTTAGGGTTTAGGGTTTGGGGTCTCTCTCTTCTTCTTCCTTCGGGTTAGAGGAGCTTGTCAGGCTCCCCGGCCCATGGGGCCCCCCAGCGTTCTGGGGCTTTCGGGGAGAGGGTCTCTCTCTTTTCTTTTCTTTCTGCAGGGCATAGGGGTCGCACGTTTGCGACCCTCAGGCCATTGGCCCGCCCCCCCACCCTTTGTTTTAATGAGTGGGAGGCATTGGGGTGACCCTCTCTCTCTCTCTCTCTGTCCTTCGCCTGTCCGTCTGATTCTGTATGTCTTCCTGTCCGCATGTCTATCAATCTATGCACTTCTCAGTCGATCTGTGACTGTGCAAAGCTACCGTTGTCTGGAAGAGTGATTACCACAATATTACCCTAAACCCGAAACCAAATAGTCTTTCGCGGGGTGCCTCCTCTTCCATTTGCTCTTCGAGTTCGCGCCGCTCGCGCTCTTCCTCAAAGCAGAGTTTGCACCAGCCCACGAAAGACGTAGGGTTGCCGGAAGGGCAACTGTACGGGTACTAAACGGAAAGCTACCCTATCCCCACCAGAACCGACCCTGAATCTGCCCTCCTGGAACCCAGACCCTGTTTCAGCTGAAGACCGCGCAGACTCGCTGATAGGGAAGAAATGACGGCTACCAGAATATGCTTTTCGTCTATCCTCCAACTTGTGGCTCGGAGAGCGAAGATGCTACGACAACTGATACTACTGCTACTGCTACTACGGTGCCACAAGCACTAACTGCCACTGCCACTGCCGCTGCCGCTGCCCTGGCCGCTGAAGCTGCTACTGCTATTGCTGGGCTGCTGTTGCTACTGCCACGGGCACTGCCAAGGCTACTAAGGCTACTAGCTACGACTGCTACGGCTGCTGCTGCTGCTCCACTACCACGACTACTACGACGACTGCTACTATTACGACTACGACTACGACGACGACGACTACGACGACGACGAGGAGGACGACGACGACTAGTACTATTATGGCGGGGCAATGCCTCCGGACAAACTGAGAACGGCTACTACGACGACCACCACGAATCTACTGCTACTGCTGCGCATCTGAGGCCTGCGGTAACGGCATCGGTGATCGCTTTGACGCCCTATATAATAACCCGGTGCAGCTCCTCAGACCCACAGCTCAAATAGCTTACGAACCTCAGAAGCGTTTTCCAGCCTCCTCCAAGCGCCGGAGCCTCTCTCGCTCCTTTCGCTCGGCCTCTCAGAGGTTTCTGACAGGAACTGGGCTGTCTCTACTCACCCCAAAGTTGTCAGGCACCCACCGCCACCAACCAAGCACAACAAAGAGATGAAGGGCCCGCAAGCCCGCACGAAGCCCGCACGAAGCCCGCACTGGCCCGAAAATCTCCTAGGAAAGGAGGTTTGGGCTTGGGTTTGATGAAAGCGCCTCTTCTCTAGCCTCGCGCTCACGCTTCTGGCGCTCGCGTTCTTCCTGCTTCCTGGCATCGATGATGACTCCAAACCCAGGGGCTCAGGGGACTGAATTCGGAATGTCGCGCGTATGCTCCTTTTCCACGAGGAGCCATGCTTCACACAAGCTCTGTACAGCATGCTTGCAGTGAGCAGCAAAGGTTGCTGACCTTGAAAGACTGCCCGATGCCAAGAGTTTGAGCACATCAAAGCTTCCCGGCACAGCGCAGAACGGGTTCCCATCATGCTGGTCGCGGCGTTACGGTCCTTGCGTCGACGAAGATGCCCAGAAAGAGTGCTTTGCTCTTCTCATAAATTCCTGGGACCGATGATTCTCGAGGTCCGTTAATGTTGAGCACCTGGATATTGTTCTGCTCTTGCCACGTAAGGAATTTCTCTCGGGCCCTAGGGATGTCCCCTGCTTCGGCGAGCGTAAAGAGCAGCTGAGGCTTTCCAAGCGCTTCGACGGCTTTCATTCCCAAGTTCGTACCATCCAGGACGTCGTTGGGCAGAATGGTCAGTGTACCTTGCAGGGCATGTCGACTCTGACTACCGCACGCTTGCAATTTTCACATCTGCTGCTGGCATAGATCAGGTGGTGAAAAAAGCATGCGATGCCGAGGCCATGGAGATGACTCGGAGAACATGCATGCCCTTCTTATTCTTATTATTCTTATTATTATGATTATTATCATTATTAGTATTATTATTACTACTACTACTACTACTTTTTGCTTTGCTTTGCATGCACAACCGCTCAAGAGCGACCTATGTGTGAAGCCGGCGATGCGTATGCATCGGCTCCTCTAGGGAGCGCACTGGGCCCGAGTAAATGAAAAGAAACGGCGAAGATTGCAAACTCCATGCATCGATCCTTTAAGGATGGTCGAGTTGGAAATCCCGGAACGAAGTGTGACAGCTAAGTATAAGAAATGCCGTGCCGACAGCACCTAGCGCATTCCTCCATTGGTGGGCGAGCCGACAGCTCCCAGCCCCACCACTGTATCAAGCTGTTGGAGAATCAAAAAGACAATCAAACTACATCAAAACATGGATCAGGAGCTCAAGACTGTACAGCAAGCAGGCCAATCCATATGTATCAGTAGTCATTTGCAGGACCACACGAAGTTTTGCACCGCTCACCTGTCAGCTGGCATCGTTGACTTGAATTCGGAAACACCCCATCCATCCGCACTGCCTCGTATGAAGTTCCATCGCGACCTCGGTAATCTCAGCATGTGACCACTCGACATAGCATGACATTGATGTTCGGCATGCCATCCACTCCAGAGCATTCTTTTGTTGCTCGCTCCCCGTCTGAATAACCCCTTGGAAACAAGCAGTAGCCACTCATGAAAGCTCGCTTCACGCCACATTCTCGTCCGGTTTAAAGCCCAAGGATGAAAGATACTGTGCATCTTCTGTGGCGAGTCGACTCGTATGTTTAACATGGTACCCTATCA